AAACTGGTTGCTTTGCAAGATGCAAAAACTAAAACATCTGCACATAGAAATACCCTGAACCTTGAACTGATGTGGCACAAAAGTCCTTCACAGGTACAAAGATGTTGTAAACCATGCAGGACATGTATAACAACTGATAAAATAAATACATGTAAGAGGATCAAGTCACTTAGGTATTTTTATTTCTAAACCGACACCTGGCTGACCTCTTTTCTTCTGTTAGCTATGTTGAAACGGAAACATGTGCAGACAGGGAAATTAGTGCATTTCCCTTTAGAAACTAGTTGCCCAAAGCTTAATCGGCAAATCCCATAATGATTATGGAGTAGCGTAAGAGCCTCTCTGATCCAAAAAGTCATTTTAAGGCCTCCACCCTTCTTTTTCATCTGCAACAGCATGGCATGAAGAGCTTGAACGTTAAACACATTGTCATGAAGGGGCCGCTGTGGTAGAGTGCACAAGTCACACTTACACACTGAAACGGCACCTGATCTTTATTTAACAAAAGTCATGTCCTCAGTACTTTTTAAGTGTGCTGCAAAAATAAACCTGGTGCATTTCAGACATGTAAGTACCATTAATAGCTGTCGAGTCTTCGTGTGTGGTTTCCCACAAAAATACTTTTTTTTCTGGCAAATATTCCGATGACCCCAAGGCTTGTGTACACCACTCGAGCTGAAGTCTTCATTTCAAACTTTCACACGCTATCGCATGCCTGTAAATGCCCTCAGAGATGGAATGTTTCATCTGGTTCCTCCGGGTTGTTCTTCGATGTCACCAACTTAAAAAATCCCTCAAACAACTGACAACATGTCAACGTTAATCGTGTGGGATTGTGTGTCCATGCTCAGTATGCCCAGTACTGTTTGAGAGAGTCGTCTCCAACAGGATATTATGATTCGCCTGTTGTCTGCTTAAAGATCTGTACAGAACCTGTAGAGTTTTTAACTAGTTCTTATTTAAGATGGACCACAATAAACCTGGAGGGAAAAGACACAAAAATGATTTTTAGATAGTGTCAGAACCTTTCAGTTCTTATAACGTGCTCATTTTCAGTGTGTGGTATTCCTTCCTTCCTATTATCAGATACAGGAAACAAAAATCTGACACTACTGTCTGTACGATGGGAAAATAGCAGGGCACAAAGAATAAAAAACAATTGTTTTTAAAGGCGATTGTCACATGTTCTCTCTTGGGAAGTAAAGATTGTATAAAGATATGCTATTGGCTGGCTTTTATCATAAAGACAATGAATCTACAAAAAAAAACAAAACATGATTAACACTTGCAGTAATGATGGAAAAGCAACAAAAAAAATGCTGTGATTTAATTTCAACACTATATTCTAAAGAAAAGCTAAACGGACTGAAAAAGAAAACGCAGAGACAAAGCTGCAGATGCACAGATGCACAGATGCAGGAGAAGTCGTTACATCTGGAGCTGTGAGGCCATGTGTTGCTGTGTGATCCGGCCTGCAGGATCCCAACGGATCAGTTCAGTCATTCGTTGCTCAAAAATGAGCCTCTATGGCCACTGTGGTCAGTGGCCACTGACCACAGTCTTTGTTCATTTTAAACATGTTATACACTCATTTTGTATGTACTCTATATCATTCATATTAGCCCCTTTTAATATACTCTTTTACATACATGAATATGCCTACATGTGAAAATCCTTTGTCTTTAACATGAGACTTTTGAATGAAGAAAAATAACATCTATCCTCCTATTAAGGAATGGTTGAATTTAAAAGCAATAAACCACACCCTTTCTCAAGGAGCCATTTTAGCAATTCATCCCATATTTGTCTCTTGTGGCAACAGTGGCCGTTGTTCAGCAGATGTTATATAGTCTCTCATTTAGTGCATTTCTTGTATAAAAAGTGTCATTGAAATGTTTTAGATTGATCATATTGTGATTGATCTGGTAGCCTGTGTGTGCGATTGGAAGACAGAATAAATAAACCAGATACGACTCGTTAACAAGGAAATGGCAGAGTACAAGCACTTAGCACGTGATTACACACATCTCTGGAAAATACATCTTGAAGCATCCACAAAAGTTCGATATATCCAATGTCTGAATCTTCTAGCTGGCATCATTTCCACCAATCAATTATTGTCATGTTAAAGACATGAGACGTGTGTGTGTTTGGTGGGGCATTGTTAATATAAGAGGTGTGTGCCAGTGTTTGTTCAGTACTGCATTTATCTGAAAGAGTGGTGGTTGGTTGTTGCTCAACCCAGTCGGATGTCAGCTGATGGATGTAGGGAGAAGTGAAAGAGTGAGCCTTCTTTGCCGTTGGCCTTTTCTTTTTCTCAGCCAAAAGGGAAATAATTCTTCGTGGTTCTTCTATTTCAACACAGATACACTTTCAGTCAGCGTCCATCTTCTTACATCAACCTGCTCCTGAAACGGGACAAAGAGAGGCAAAGACTGCAACACTTTAATGTGTCGTTAAAGGGAACTCTAGAACAAGATTTACATTTCACTGTTGAAATCATTTGAGACCATTAAGTCAGTCCTGTGACGGGGCTCGGACATGCTTGTTCTAGCAGGTTACCATTTCACTCACCAACACCTCCAATCATTATGAAAGCGGTCACCTCAGCTCCTTCAGAGACTCTCTTGAACACACTGAAGTCAAGTCATATTTATTTTCTTCTAAACGGCCTTAATTTGCCGTGGCTATGTGGGAGTCATGAGACACATATAGATATAGATATAGAGATATAGAGATATAGATATAGAGATATAGAGATAGATAGATCTATCTATCTATAGAGAGAGATAGATAGATATATAGATATAGATATATATATATATATCTATATATACATCTATATATATCTATATATATATCTATATATAACAGTTTAAATCATCCATGTTTACATTCATGTTTGCTAACTTGCTAAAATGGATCAGTCGAGATAAAGAGTTCATTCTTGACCTGTCTGCCGTTTCACTTTCAAAGATGGACAAATAAAAGTTAAATTCAAGTGAGCCGTACACTTTGTGTGTGAATCCCATGTAAGGGCAACATTTACCTTTGATTTCATAAATCTTGCGTGGAGATCATGACTCATGCAGAGTTTCGCAAAATGTCAGACATGAAAAGAGCCCCACCCCTTTTATAGAGGAGCTCTGTGTTAAAGGTGAGGCTCGGACTTCTCCGCTACTATATTCTGTTCATTTCCATGGAACATGTTGTTTTGCAATCCATTTTGTGAATACAAAACAAACAGGTTCATGTCTTTAACATTAGAACATTAGGTCAACATGTCTGTCTTCCCTCAGTATAACGGGATGGACTCCAGAGAGCAACTGTTAACACATTCGTTTCCAGATTTAGGGAAGAAAATGTCAATAAATTCTGAAAAAGAAAAAGGTCAAACAAAACAATCTTCCTTTTATAGGAAAATTTTAATAGTTATTCAATGTTCTACATTTTACAGTAAATATACAATTACAAACTTGGCTTAGTTATAGTACTAGATCACTAACTGATCTTTAAAAAAAAAAGAAAGAAAAGAAAAGAAAATCATAAAAAAAACAAAAT